CGATAACAGTGATAATTATTGTACTGGTTATATATAAAGTAATAAGAAATAAAGAAAAAGCGGAATTGGCACGCGTCGCCGTGAAATCGCGTAACGCGGAACAGCGTGGAAAGCGGCGAAGCGCTCGCGCGCAAAACGCCGAGACTATCGCGCTGTAAGTGTGTCGCGTAGTATAGTGTGTAAGATACAAAGATAGTGTAAATAACATGCAAAAATTGTACACAAGTAATTTTAAAAGTTGCGACGGAAAATGTTACAGACATTTTCCTTTTTCCCGGAAGGGGGGGAAATGTTGTGCGCCAAATTTTGTGTTAAAAGTTAAGGTAAGATGAGGCCATTGAGCAATGTGATGAGACATCACTGTCATTGCTCAATGACCTGGGTAAGTTGCAGGAAGGCAGCAGTTCTAGGAAGAACGGCTGGTTGCCACAGGGTGCGACACATCGCCGCATTGTCCGAAGTGCAACGCAGCATGTGTCGACACCGGCACCGGTAACTAGCACGGCCGTTGCTAGGACCGGTGGGCCACAGTGAGGAACAGCCGTGTAAAAAACACAAGGAACGTTGTAATCGGAGCAATAAAGATAAGAATTCAAGTTCGTGCTTAGAACTTCATCTTTACTACCTGACCTTCCTCGACATCCAACAAAATTTAACAATTAAGGGAAGGTGTTTGTTGGAAATAAGTGTTAAATGCGTTCTATTCTAGTTCTATTCACATATATTGTTCGGAGTACTGAAGGTGCACAAAGTGCGTGCATCACACATGCTGTGAAAGTTACATTTGAGAAGCACTGCTTCTCGATATTTCGATGTTCTTTGTGTGCGGTTTTTGTCTTGCCCCTGTTTGCGTTTGGCAGTTTTCTCTCGTTGTAATTTTGTCTGCTCTTTTATAATTCTTTTATTAATTATGTATTAATCTGATTATATAAAATAAAACTGTACTTCAAGTGTTGTGAATCTCTGACTATTCTCTTAAGTAAAATCAACAATTACAAAACAATTTGCAATCGGTTCTAATAAGCCGTAATCACACACATGAATTTGGTAATTACACATCATATTTATATTAAACGACACAAATAAACTGTAAAAACTATTGCCAAGAGTAAAAACATAACTCTGTCATAGCCAACTTCATTCAGTGTAATAAAACTAACCTAATATGCTTACTATATTAAAATACATGATAAAGTCACAAATGGTGTAATAGTCATCAAATGGTGCATCTACTCTAGTTGTCATTAATAAAAAAAGTTGGCACTTTGAGATTTTGATGACATGACAAAAGATACAAACGCACGTCTTAGGCCGCTCAATCACGACACTTCACGCTTAGTCCAAGTTATCTATGGTACATCTTATTGTACAGATAGCCAAATGTCTACCTTTACATGCAAATTTCTCAGAAATTAAGACCTATGCACTCTCTATACTTTTTACACTCTCAACTTCCTTTTTGAATGAAATATGGCTTGTTCACTTTCGTATTTTGCAATCTTGCCATCTCCTTGTCAAATACTTTCCCTTCGACTCTCGCTTAGGGACCGTTTACCGGAACAAGAAAAAAAGTACAGCCTCACGCACAAGAGGCGTGGTCGATGGAAGGTAAAATTAGACTTTGGGAGACAGCTTCTTTCTCTCCGAAGAGAGTTAAAATGCCTTCCAAAATCTGTAAAAGGTGTTTGTAACGGCTGCTGGTGAGACAAAGAAGGCTTCTTCGTTCCTTGTACCACAGCGTGTTGCCAAGAAAAGTAGGTAAGCCTACTTCCTTCACAACTGGTAGAGAAAATAAGAAAAAGTTGTCGAAAGGCATGCTAAATGCTAGGCCAAAAAGCCTTCGCTTGCAAAACCGCCTTGTCTGCCACTTAGTTAAGCTCACAGTCAAGGGTGGTAAAAAGAGAAGACAGATACCGCCCTTTCAAGATGGCAATAGTATTGCTTTTTGAAAAGGGAAGCGAGGCTACCTTTGCTTCGGCGATGGCGGCCTGCAGAGGGAAGTTTGCTCTGGAGAATTTAGGCATAAAGTAAGGATGAGAAAGCCTAACCGTAGGTCTTATTCTTGAGATCTTTGTACCAGAAAATAGAGATTAAAGCCGACGTTTCATGAGCGAGACTCTACGACAGCAAAGAGGTATCTGGATCTACCAGTGCGCGAAATATGCAGAAATCCGCGTTTGCGAGTTGGATGACTTAGTCACTCAGGAAGAAGTACCGTTTCAACGGCAAAAAAATGCTGAAAAGAGTGGGAATGGTGCACTTAGATACAGTGCAATTAGACACGGTGCAATTGGATACGGTGCAAATAGACACAAACTTGTAGACACGGTTTAATTAGACACTGTTTAATTAGACACCGTGCAATTGCGCACCGTTCATTTGGGTACTGTTTCAAGTGCGCACCGGTATCTAAATGAGCGATGTCTAAATAAACGGTGTCTAAGTGAACGGTGTCTAACTAAAAGGTGTCTAACTGAACGGTGTCTAAATAAACAATGTTTAATTGAACGGTGTCTAATTAAACGGTGCGCATCTTTCTGTGTCCAAATGCAACATATCTAATTAAAACGTGTCCAAAGTTTGTGTCCATTTGCACCATGTTCAATTGCAACGTGTCTAATTAAACTGTGTCTAAGTGAAGGCCACTTGAAAAAAGAAAGTCCAGTTAAATTCGGATGTCTCTCTCTGACACGGGTTCGGTCTGGGTCCAAAGTCCTGTTGTCGCAGTCAATTGGCTGCGAGGAAGATTTCTGTAAGATGGGTGCAAGCACTTATACATGAGTTCATTATTCGTCCTCTGCAGTGCTACCACTGCTTAAAAACAGGTCACGTCTGGCAGTGATGCACTGCAGAAGAAGTAGCCAATGTTACCGATGTTGCCATTGCGATAGCACTGATCATTTCGCGGTACTGGCTCGGACTCCCATTGTGGGCGGACTTGGAACATCTGAACACAGATTGAGAGGATAATTTTGTACCACTTTCCTTTTAAAAGAAGTCGGTTTATAAGCCTCTTGTTGCAAAATGTTTGTTTCCATATTGTTCTGCCATCCCCATAAAAATGGGTCTACGTCCAGTGTCGTCTACGTTGTCTATCGTAGGCTTCTCCGGCTCCCGTTGAGGAGTTTGAAGGAGTAAAGAGGGCGGTCTCGGGGACATCAGAAGAGAGATGGCGAGACAAGCACTCGCCGTTCTTTTGGGATCCTCGGAACCAAAGAAGGCGAAGCCGGAGTTCCTTTCGTCAAAAACTCGTTAGAATGATCACAGAAAGTGTGCCTGACATTTAGACCTGAGAGAGTCACTCCCCACCCGTTCGAGCGTCTATGTGACGCTCGGGTTAGTCAAGGTGGTGGCACTTATCAGGGGGAAAGCGTTCGGCTCTTCGGAGCTGTTTTAAGCCACATGAAAAATAGGTAAAATCTGACCAGAAATTCCACAATCCTTTTTAGCGCGACTAGTAGGCCATCGTGGTTTTAGTCGGTAAGAGTTCGACATTATCCTCTCTCCTTTTTGAGGATAAAAGTGAAAATTTCTCTTATGTAAAAAAGATGTTTGTGGCGGCTGTAAGGCCACCACCAAAAAATTAAAGCAACGTACGGCAGGTCGCGCGATTCCGCGCGCCGCCGCTACGTGGCGCATGGCCGCAAGTGTCGCGCGGAGGTATCATTTGCCGCGGCGTCAACTTATATAGACCCGCTCAGCGCATAACTATCGCCGTAGAGTGAACGGCAGCAAGATACCAAAACGTCAGCTCCATTAATCTTAAAGCATCCAGCAACGCTCCAGTGGTCCGGATCACTAGACCAACGCCTCCACAATCACCAGGGGTCCATCTCGGAGCACTGTTGCAAACTCTGACCCGCTAGCACCAAGAGCACCGAGGTGGTGAGAGCCACTGGGAGCACGCACACAAGCGAGAATCGCCGTCCGTGTGCGTGACGTCACGCTCGGCACTTCGGCTGGAAGAGTGCAGACGTATTATAATGTTCCGTCTCCTTTCCACATATATATAATACTTCTATATTGCTAGTCGCGTATCTTCGCAATGAGAGGCACGAGGCCCGAGAAAGAGAGACGCACGAAGTCCAAATATGGGCATAGGTAGTCGAGCGTCATTATGCGCAGACGCGTCTACTAAGCGAGTGCAAGCGAGACAAAGCATTGGAAAGTGAGAGGACGCGAAGAAAGAACGCGAGAAAAAGAAATGCCCAAGCGTGCTTGAATGTTCACCGCATGCGCACAAAGCAGCTGGACCTTGCACGAGAGAGAGGCTACTATATTTTCTGCACCGTAACATTTGGGCTTCAGGTCGGCACCGTACTAGCAATATAGAAGTATTACATATATGCCTTTCTATCAAGCCGGCTGGACAAGATGAAAGACGAGAGGCACATTTACGTTGCGTTGTGCGTGTTTGTTACAGTGGACTGTATATAATTATGCTAGTTGCACTTTGTACTAAGAACCTTTATTTGATAATTGTTGCAATATTACATATTGAGTTCGTTTGGCGCGCACACAAAGCTCGTACTACTAACAAAAGTAAAAAAAGGGGGGGCGTTAGAGCGCGCTTCTACTGCGCAGCATCAGGCACGGAGCGAAACAAGCTTAAAGAAGCTCGCGCGCGTAACTTGAATTGAAACTAAAGAAAACTCTTAAACACACTCCCCGCCTTGAAAGACTGAAGTCTTAAAAAAAAGCGAAAAAGAAAAAAAAGGGTGCTTGAAACAACACGACAAAATAAATGAAAACGTCGCGGACGACATTATTTCACAGCTGAGAGCACCTTGCAGTCACAATGCTGTAATCGGTAAAGGGCACATTTTCACTACCGCACGACGAATAGGTCCTTTGCTAGTGCGGAGAGTGGCAACTCGCACCACGCCATCGGCGCCAGGGTGTAGCTCNGTAACTCTTCCAAGTCGCCAACGTTGTGGCGGTAAATTGTCATCCTTGACCAAAACCAGATCGTCAACACTGAGCGTACCCACGCTTGTTTTCTACTTGGTACGATACTGCAGTTCAGAAATGAACTCCTTGGACCAACGCTTCCAAAAGTTCTGTTGCATCTGCTGAACCCTTTGATACCGAGACAGCCGCGTCTCCGGGACGTCAGTTACATCTGGATAAGGTATGGTCGTCAACGAACCTCCGGTGATGAAATGAGCTGGCGTGAGTGATTGCAAATCCATTGGATGGGACGACATGGGTGAGAGAGGGCGTGAGTTCAACACGGACTCGATTTGCACCAACAGGCTGTAGAACTCCTCAAAGGTTAGCAATGCGTTTCCCACGACTCTCTTCAAATGATGCTTAGTAGACCTTACTCCTGCTTCCCAAATACCACCAAAGTGCGGTGAATAGGAGGGAATAAAGTTCCAGTTAATTCTCTCTGTCACAAGTTGATCTTGTAGTTGTCTCTCGTTCTCCTGGATAAACTCTCCGAGGCGGTTCAACTCAGAGTGAGCTCCAACAAAATTGGTGCCGTTATCGGAAGATATTTTCGCAGGTCTCCCCTTACGACCAACAAATCTACGAAGCGCCATGATGAAGTTCTCCGTAGTGAGATCGGAAACCAATTCCAGATGAATGGCCTTTGTAGCCATGCAAATAAACAGGCAGATGTAGGACTTGTAGGTTTTACAGCCTCTTCCCTTTCTATCCTTTGTCACAAAGGGCCCGGCATAATCCACGCCAGTGTTATAGAAAACGGGAGTGGGCGTTACGCGATCGGACGGTAAGTCAGCCATCTGTNGTGTGATTGTCTTAGGNTTGTTACGAAAACAACGAACGCACTGGTGTACAACGTGACGGGCTAAGCTTCGACCAGCAATAGGCCAGTACGTCTCTCTAACATGAGCCAACAATAGTTGAGGGCCAGCATGCAGAAGCCGTTTATGCTCGCTCTGGAAAATGAGTTTAGTTAGATGATGCCTAGACAAAAGTACCATGGGATGCTTCTTGTCAAAACTAAAGTCAGATCGTCCCAATCGACCTCCCACCCGTATGGTATTATCGGAATGCAAAAAAGGTTTTAAGCCGAGAATCTTGCTCTGCGTAGATATATCTTTATTCGCGGCCAACGCACTATATTCCTCTGGAAACGACTCCTGTTGTGACAACCTCACCAATATAGTGGTTGCCTGCCGTATTTCCTGCGCGCTAAGCGTGCCTTTGTTGGATAATTTATGCACTCGTATGTTTACAAACCTTACGCAAAAGGCTACTACTCTCTCCAACTTTTCCAGCGTGGAGTATCTTTCGAACGGAATGATGTGGTTGGTTGTTACGATGTGTAAAGTGTTCGAAGCTGTATCTCTTAGCTCGGGTAGGTCAGTAGTTACGCAACCGATTTGAGTTGGCCAATGACTTTCAGACTCTACTAGCCAGGCTGGTCCATGCCACCAGAGACATGACTGGGACAACGACCCGGGGTAGATACCTCTTGATAACAAGTCCGCGGGATTATTAGAGGATGAGACATACTTCCAATTGTTCCGATGAGACTGCACTTGAATATCAGACACCCGATTGCGGACAAACACTTGAAGACGATGAGGTTCAAGTTGTATCCAACTTAGGCAAATAACTGAATCGCTCCAGTAGTAAACGGAATCAACATTCACATCCAAAGATGACTTGATTTTGGTTACCAAATTCACTAGGACGTGAGCAGCGCTTAACTCCAACTTTGGTATTGTGAGTGGCTTCAGGGAAGCGACTCTTGATTTGGCGCACAACAAACGGACAGAAACTGATGACGCTTCATCCGTAGACCTTATGTAAACGCAACCGCCGTAGGCCCGTTCACTAGCGTCCGCAAACCCATGTATTTCGACTCGTCGTGGGGACGAGCAACAGACCTGTCGTGGAATACGAAGGTCATTGAGTACTGTAAGTTGATTGGCAAACAGCGCCCANTCAGACTGCAATTCCGACGGGAGCGGATCGTCCCATGCGAGTTTTAGTTTCCACAACCTTTGCAACATCATCTTGGTAATTATAATGCTTGGACCCAGAAGTCCCAACGGGTCAAAAAGCCGCGCTATTAGCGACAAGACAGAACGTTTCGTGGTTGGTTCGTGGCCATCATCCAATGTGACATGATAAATCAGTTCGTCTTTGCCAGCAGACCATAATAATCCTAAGGTTTTTGTGGTTTCAGTCTCACCTAGCTTGATGAACTGGTGACTATCACCGGATCTTCCGATTGTTTCTAGTAGCTGTGAGTCGTTGGATACCCACTTTCTCAACTCAAAGCATCCAGTCGCCAAAATACGTGTCACGCCAATGAGCCGAACTGCCTCCGCACGTGACGGCGCTCCAAATAACAAGTCGTCTACGTACATAGATTTGCGTACAATGTTTGCCGCCTCGGGGAAGGATTCCTGATACTCCTCAGCCAGGCTGAACAAACACCTGATGGCCAGAAAGGCACTGGAGGCCATTCCGTAAGTAACCGTACGCAATTCGTATGTCTCAACTGNGTCGGACGGATTTTCTCTCCAAAGTATGCGTTGAAAGACGCATTGAGACGGTTCGATGAGCACCTGACGGTACATCATAGCAATATCAGCCCCCACTACGTATGGACGTTGCCTGAAACACAAAAGGATTGATAACAAGTCTTGTTGTATGGTAGGTCCAACCATCTGTATGTCGTTGAGCGATAGGCCCGTTGTCGTAGGTGCTGAAGCGTTGAAAACAACGCGTAACTTTGTTGTGAGACTGTTTTCCTTCATCACACCGTGATGAGGCAGATAATACAATGGAGTTGCAGGACTATCATCGACGACTTTTCTCATATGACCTAGTTCTTCATATTTTCTCATGAAGTCTATGTACTGATGCCGCATGGCCTCATTTCTTTGCAATCTGCTCTCTAATGCCTTTAGCCGTCGTATGGCTAATTCTTTAGAGTCCCCCAATTTATCGGGAGACGATTTGAACGGAATGGACACGATAAATCGACCGCTGTTGTCGCGCTTAGTTGATTCAAGAAAAAGGGTCTCACATGCCTGCTCTTCTGGCGATAGAATGCGGCTATGTGATACTTCTTCAACCTCCCAAAAGCGTTCTAACTGAGAGACATCGCTTATGTTGGTTGACAAATTGCAGGCTAGTAAGGCATTGTTGACACATTCCTGTTGTAGCTTTCCGGAGACGATATAGCCCAGTTTCGTCTTATGCAAATAAGGATGCCCTGTGGGCTCATAGCAAATCAAATCCCAAAAGAGATCAATACCGATTAACAACTGTATTCTCTTTGGCTTGTGGAAGTGTGGATCAGCAAGAGGAACGTTATTCGGGATGTTTGTCTTCTCGAGATCCAACGGCTCGCTGGGTAAATACGATGTGATTTTGGGAACTATCATAAACACAAGTTCTGCTTTGTAGTCACTGTGTGTTGACTTGATAGTCGCCTTTGCTGTCTCTTGGATTCTGGTTTCTGTTCGACTTATGCCGGTTACTGTGGTATCTGTTTTGACGGTACGAAGGCCTAACGAGTTGCACAGGCCCAGTGTCATAAAATTGGATTGAGAGCCTGAATCAAGAAGTACGTTGCACCTGTGCACTTGTCCATTTCCTGCAATTATCTTGACAACTGCCGTGGGTAGTACACGTGTAATCTTGCTTGTCGTGACGTGCGCTGATACGATTTCCTTNGTTTCCCTACTTTCCGCTTGGGCTTCTTGCGTTGGTGTTTTATTGTTNTTCAATTCTTCATGATTTTCGACTCTTTCCAAATGCAGTAACGTGTTATGAGACTTTCCANACTTGCGACATTTTTGTGACTTGCAATTTACTGCAATGTGACCTAACTTTAAACAGTTTAAACAAGCTTTCTTCTTTTTGACTTGTTCTATTCGTGCACTTANCGGCAAATCGATGAAGGATTTGCACGCAAATAAACCGTGTTCTTCTTCGTGCTGAACGTGGCCATCTCTAATTGAGGATGATTGCATTTATTATCAATAATATTATGGACATTTTCCAAGATTGTAAATCTCGGAAAAACGTTTCACGTTGTCATACGCAACAAGCGCACAACGCAACGTGAACGTGCCTCTCGTCTTTTATCTTGTCCAACCGGCTTGATGGAAAGGAGACGGAACATCATAATACGTCTGCACTCTTCCACGAGCCGAAGTGTCGAGCGTGACGTCACGCACACGGACGGCGGTTCTCGCTTGTGTGCGTGCTCTCAGTGGCTCCCACCACCTCGGTGCTCTTGGTGCTAGCGGGTCAGAGTTTGCAACAGTGTCTCGGAGCAGTCTTCAATCCGGAGCCGTACGGAGTAGCCAAACTAGAGGCGACCAATTCTAAGGCGGAATCCACCGGACCAGTAGAAGAGTCATTCCGGCCGTGGATACTCCGACCACACAACATACCTTCGCCTCGACGAACTCGGCCTCCTAGAGTCCTGCTAGCGCAGACACTTCCCTACCCCGCGTACACAAAGGGGTTCAAGGAGAACGACTGGAATATAAAGACTAGTCCATGCAGTCGAGTGGTAGTGAATGGGAACGATCGCCACGGGAAACTACCTCAGCAGCAGTATAGACTGAGATCACCGGCGAGATCATTCCCCGGCACTCCAGAGACACATAGGAGAAGAAGCGGCAATGTAAATCAAGAAGCCGTTCCAGGCACCGATCCCCGAGAGTCACGACAAGGAAAATCCACTCCAGCAGTCGACGGGATCGCTCACGACATCGCAGAACTTCGCGCAAGACTTCCGCGTATTCAATTATTTAAACCGGCTCTTGTCAGAGCCAAGTATACCATGTAAATAGTCTGTAAATACCGCTGGAATAAAAACCCATATTTTTGGAACATCGCTCAATCTTCACTAAAGCGAAGAACCTGATCTCGACCGCTATTCTTTTGCTGCTGTCACCATCGCTGCTGTCCACTATTGCTGCTACACACACTTCACGTCAAAGTGTTTTTATCATGAAACTTTTATAGAAAGACAGTTTTTAATATTTTCAATCATTTTCGAGATATATTGAGAAAAGCGAAATGCCGCTTTATATATGAAAGGTGGTTTTAAAACCGTATTTGAGCCACTACTAAAAATTTCTACATTTATCTATCAACTTCTTCTATGCATGCAATACAATGCAATGCAATTTCATCAAATTCAGAATTTTCGAATTTACAAGAATCTCTTGAATGTATAACTTCTTTTACCTATTTACAAACGGTGATACGGCTATTACCAGTTGTTCTATACTATATATAAAAATGAATTATCTTATAATATGTTTATTATTTCATACTAATGTCATACTTTTATTATTTTATAATAATAACGACAATAAATAAAAAGTAAACAGACTCAGATGCACACAAAATAAAATGGCAGTGTGTCAATGATATAATTCCAATCAGACATGACAAAAAACGGACACTTAACCCCTTGGCCTACACGATATCTGCCAATTGCGCGAGCTATAGTAAACAAGAGAATCGGTCGCGCGCCGTGCCATTCATCTGTTCAGCCGCGTACCTGAACTGGCGCAAAATGTGTACCTTCTAATTCTTTACCACGAGTTAGACTCGTGGTTTTCGCTTATGGCACAAATTTTTCACCACGAGTCAGACTCGTGGTTATAGGCCAAAGGGTTAACAAACTCAATTCAAATAGTATGTTCTGAATTTCACGATGTCTCTTTCTGTTGAGTATAATTGTTAACTCAGATATGTATTGTTGTAGGTTTTTTGTGTAAACTTTATTGTAAAACAGTACTACACAACATAATTATTAATCAGTAAGAAGATCACGTTCGTACAATGATCGCAAAAAAACAACAACACATACAAAAAGAAGATATTCAAACTTTTACAACGCATTTTTTTTCTTTTCTTTTCTTTTCTTTGAACAGGAGAAGACTGCTGCGCATTTACTCTCCCTCTCTTTCTCTTTCAGGTTAAGTGCACTTTCTACACTATAAGCACTTTGCACATTCTTTTCATATTAACACCTTTGCTCCGAGGCGTTTTAAAGCAGATCTTACGCGAATACAGGGCAAATTCGTGGAAATTTAGCATTTGCGATATTCTCAAAGTGTTATAATTTTTGAACCACTTGATATTTTTCAATGAAATTTTGAGGAAAAGGAGAGAGGATTTCTTTGGATAAGACTATAATTTGTAATAATTTTCAGTGGTTCTCAACTCGTTTTATATAAAAAGGTACTATACATAACAACATACTATAATATTACATATAATAATATAATCAACCAAAAAGAACACTATAATATAATAAGTCAAGCAAAAAGGATACAATAATAGAAAAATAATAGAAAAAAACAGAATCCAATAAAATATAATAAGAAAACACAATACATTTGTATTACTTTATAAATTTCTTGCGAGAATATTGCAGTATATCATAATAAATATATTAAATATATTATAATTTTATCTAAACATTAAATAACATAATGTTCTATAATAATATATTATATAATATATTATAATTTTCTTTAAATAAACTTAAAATGTGTCTTTCTTTCTATTATCCTTTCATCAAGTCACATTCCGGTTCATACACGCTTCTGAATTTATTAAAAAAATAATATATGATTTTCTGCACTTTTTGATATGTATAAAGTTACACATGCAACATTATATTTACAGTATCTTATTGTTGTTAAATTAATACTGTTTTTTGTCTAATAGTTTTTAAAGCAAGCTCCACGATATAAAGGAACTTCACAGGATTTACGTATGTAAAACGTGTCTTGATACGTTGTGAGAGTTGCAAACGCGACACCTTCTTCTGATATTCCTATTCTAAGAAAGAATTTTTCTTGATCTGTGCTGTTTCATATTTCCCGTAAGTCTGTATGGCGGATCAAAATGGGAAAGTTTAGCTTGTTTAGAACTTGATGGTTGATCTATTGTTGCTTCTTTAATATCAGAATGTAACATATGATGAATTTTCTCCAACCAAGAGTAAGCTATATCCAGCATAAAATTATGGAATGTCATTTTTATATTTCTTGGATTCACTTTTTGATAGACGCAAAATGAGTTAAAGAATGCACGGTGAAGAAGGTAGAAAAACACTTTTTTACACCATTTCACAGTTTTTCTAAAAATAGAATTATAAGCTAAATACTGATCAGCACAACCAACGCCGCTCATATAGTTCTTATAATCCATTACGCAGTCATGGGCGTCCGCAGGGAGGAGGCAAACCCGGCATTTGCCCCCCTTGGAGAGGCAAATTTTTTCATAAATTGTATTTTTTATCTCGAAACAAATTCGAAATCCCTGGTTAACAAATTAAATCACATTACATTTATTTGTGCAAACTCTCTGTACAGTGAAATCTCTCTAGAACAAATCGATGAATAGCGGACTCATCTTTTCTATGAGCATGAAGTTTTTCCTCGAGAACATAAGAGGAGGCTTACCGTTCAGTAATGTTGCAGTCGATACAAAGCGGGTGCAATACTCTCTGCCGACGGCGCATGTAAATAAAAATAATGAGTACACTGCAAATCCATGTGTGTTACTTTAACACATTTTTTCCGTGTAATTTTAAGATTACACGCTTATCCGTGTTATTTAAACACACATAAATGTGTAATATGATAATTTTATGCAGATCGCATGTGTGTTAAAATGCGTAAACATCTAAAATGTGTAATAAAATAAAACATAGTTTTAAACACAAGTTTTAGACATGTTAAAATAAAACACATTTCTCGTTTTACACGTTTGAACAGATAAACGTTTCAAAATTAAAACACAAAAAAATACACATCAAAATTGTCGTTGTCTCTGCGTAGAAAGTTGCGCGCGCATCAATCTTTCTTTCTCGCTCCTTCCAGAGTACAGAGATATGTTAGGACAAGTACAGCGCGGCGGAAAGAAGTGTGCTGACGTGCAATATATGTGTTTAATGTGATTTGTGAAAATTTAATATATTTTTTATTTAATATGAAGAAGAAAGTGTACTGTTTAATCGGTGAACGTTGTAAACGCATTACGTTTTCATCTAAAAAATANATCTCTGACGCTCAAATTGTACGTGCAACTTTAATAAAAGCCAGCAATAACGATGTAGTGTTACAATCAATGATNAACAACAAAGAAATCATTTTACAAAAGTTTGATGCCGATCAAAATAATAAATNATGTGATATTGAAGAAGATGATGAAATTAAAGACAAAAGTGAAGTTAACGTACTTTTTTTGTATAAAAAACCATCAAGCCTCGTACTCAAATCATCACCATCTACTGGTTTTATTTTTGATGTTTCTCAAGAGAGACAAATCAATGACACGTATAACATGAAGGTCAAAATATTACATACTGAACCAGGTGATAAAAGTTTGGAAGCTCGACGTTTTCTTAGGAGAACAAAATAATAATGTTTTAATATTTTTAAAGAATACTGCACTATGACANACTTTATTATACCANAGTNATCTAAGTTTTTCATATTGCAGCTTTTTTGAACATAAATATTATTATTCTGTTCTCCTATNAAAACGTAGAGCTTCCAAACTTTTATACGATAATATGTCGTTTATTACACGCAACAAATTATACATTTAAAACGTGTTAATTTAGTGAGTTAAATCAACACGTATTAAGCGTGTTCCAATTTTAAACACTAAGAAACGTATTAAAAGTGACTTCAATAAAAACACACGTCAAGTGTGTTAAATTAACACACTTGGATTTGCAGTGTAGACAGCTCTTAGAGCATTTTTAAATTGTCTCACGCAAATGAAATTCTATACTCGCTATTCGCGAGTAAAACAAATTAAAATTTTATTGATTAATTATTTCATTCTTTAAAAATAAACAGAGATATAGATCTTTTTCTAAAAAACCTAGACTTAAGAACGATAATTCTCTATATAAATCTTTCTCTTCTATATTGACGTCATCAGTTAGTTCTTGCTCTTCTAATAATCCCGCCACATCAATTCA